CTTTCCTTTTTTTTTTTTTTTTTAAGGGAGTTGTGGGGCTTGTGCCCAGCACTCAACCCTCTTTTTTTTTCCTTTTTTGTTTAGCAGGTCTGGACCCGTTCAAACCCACCAGTCCCGCAGCCTGTGGCTGGCACCATAACCACTGAGTACTGGCGCCCCCGCTAATTTTCTTTTCCTTTGTTTCTTGAGACAGATTCTCACTTTGTGGCCCTCTGTAGAGTATAGTGGCATGACAGCTCACAGCAACCTGATACTATTGGGCTGAAGCGATTTTCTTGCCTCACCCTCCCAAGTAGCTGGGACTACAGGTGCCTGCCACAACGCCTGGCTATTTTTTTTTGTTGTAGTTGTCATTGTTGTTTTAGATGTCCTGGGCTGGGTTCGAACCCGCCACACTGGGTGTAGGTGGCTGGTGCTCTGCGGACTGAGTTATGGGCACCACCAACTGGCAGGTTTTTTTTTGGTTGTTGTTTGTTTTAGAGAGGTCTCTCTCTGGCTGGGGCTGGTCTGGAACTCCTGAGCTCAGGGCAGTCCACCTGCCTCAGCTTCCCAGAATACTAGTATTACAGGTGTGAGCCATCTTGCCCAGCCACATAAATTTTCTTTTCTTTTCTTTTCTTTTTTTTTTTTTTGAGACAGAGCCTCAAGCTGTCCCCCTGGGTAGAGTGCCATGGCATCATAGCTCACAGCAACCTCTAACTTCTGGGCTCAAGCAAGTCTCCTGCCTCAGCCTCCCAAGTAGCTTGGACCACAGGTGCCCACCACAACGCCCAGCTATTTTTTGGTTGCAGCTATCATTGTTTGGCAGGCCCGGGCTGGATTCAAACCCACCACCTTAGGTGTCTGTGGCTGGCGCCTTAGCCACTTGAGCCACAGGCGCTGAGCCCATAAATTTTCATAATGAATTATTTAAGACAATATGTCAGAATCAACCCAAATGCCCAATACACGAGTGGATTAATAAAACATGGTATATGTATACCGGGTAGGGCGCTGACCACATACACAAAGGCAGGCGGTTGGAACCCGAACCTGGCCAGCTAAACAATAATGACAACTGAAACAAGAAAACAGCCCGGCGCTGTGGCGGGTGCCTGTAGTCCCAGCTACTTGGGAGGCTGAGGCAAGAGAATTGCTTAAGTGCAAGAGTTAGAGATTGCTGTGAGCTAGCTGTGATGCCATGGCCACCCTACCAAGGGCGACAACGTGAGACTGTCTCAAAAAAGTAAATAAATAAAATAAAGAAATATGATGCGTGGCGGGGCCCATAGTTCAGTGAGTGGGGTGCTGGCCACATACATCGGGGTTGGCAGGTTTGAACCCAGCCCAGGCCTGCTAAACAACAAAGGCAACTGTAACAAAAAAAAAAAAAAAAGAAAATAGCTGGGCGTTGTGTTGTGGTGGGCGCTTGTAGTCCCAGCTACTTGGGAGGCTGAGGCAAGAGAACCGCTTAAGTCCAAGAGTTTGAGGTTGCTGTGAGCTTTGATGCCGCAGCACTCTACGCAGGGCGACATAGTGAAGACTTTGCCTCACAAAAAAAGAAAAAAAGAAAAAAAAAGGTGAACAGGATACCTTTTGTAACAATTTGAATGGAACTGGGGACTATTCTTCTAAGTGAAGTATTGCAAGAATAGAAAAACAAATACCGGCTCAGCGCCTATAGCTCAACCGGCTAAGGCGCCAGCCACGTACACCTAAGGTGGCGGGTTCGAATCCCCAGCCCGGACCCGCCAAACAACAATGACGGCTGCAACCAAAAAATAGCCCGGCGTTGTGGCGGGCGCCTGTAGTCCCAGCTACTAGGGAGGCGGAAGCAAGAGAACCACTGGAGCCCAAGAGTTGGAGGTTGCTGTGAGCTGTGATGCCATGGCACTCTGCCCAGGGGGACAGCTTGAGGCTCTGTCTCAAAAAAAAAAAAAAAGAAAGAAAGAAAGAAAAACAAATACCACGTGTACTCACTGTTAAATTGGAAGTCATTGCCTTCATATTTTAGCAAAAACAATGGAAATAGAGCAGGTGGGAAAGGGTGGAGGGGTGGGGTAAATTCACACCTGGCAGATACAAGGCACACTGAGTGACGGGCACACTCATAACTTTGACCCACACGGTACAAAAGCAACTCATATAACCAAAACGTCTGTACCCGTGTAATAGTCTGAAATAATAATGAAAAAGACAGTATGCCAGAATTTCATTATGGTCTGTGACTTGCAGATGGAAATAGGGAATATTCCTGAGGCAAACGCACCCCGCCATCATATCAATAAAAGAAACTGAGTCAGCAACCAAGTCTGTTGAGGAATTTAAGCAACGAAATGACTGTGGGAGAGAGTGGATACATTCAACATGAATTAAGTGTCAACTAAGTGTGGAGAACTCTTAGAAGCCCTGTCCATTCAGCCAAGGTAAATAGGAGGCAGCCTCCACCCCCGCAGGAGTTCAGGAAAGGTGAAAACTTCAGTGGAGGGGCAGGACTCCAGGCAAGACTCGGGGCAGGTGTCTGAGCCCGAAAGTTCAAATTCTGAGAGCCATTACACATCTTGACTTGAAAGTCGCGAATTTCCTTTTATCCCCAAAGCATTCGCGCTGAATTCCTCAAAACAGCAACAAAAGCAAAACCACAACAAAGTGTCCCTGATGTCGTTCCTTCTCAAACGCTGCATGTTTCTAAACTTGCCCCACAGGATAATAACGAGCATCTGATACCTAGACATCGCTCCCAGGAACTGTAATACAAACTCCAGTAATCTGCATAAACTGCGCTGTGGACACAGCCCCCTTCCTTTCTCAGAACCGGGCTTTACACGCCAATTCCAATCCGAGCCGTGGCCGCGCAGCCTGCTGGGACTTGTAGTCCGCTCTCGAGTCCCTTTCAGAGTCCGCGCAGACTCACGGGGTCTCTGTCCGCCCTTCGGTCCTGCAGAGAAACCCAGCACGGGATTCAACGCTCCCTACCCCCATCTGGCTCCATCCCCTCAGGGGCCAACCTCCTCCGGTCACGTGGAACTCTTGTATGTTGCGATTGGCCATAAGGTTCGGAGGCGGGGCGCAAGGCCCTGAGAGGTTCCGTGCCCCTGGTCGGGCTGCTTGTTTGGCTGCTGCCGTCACCTCATGGCGACGCGGGTAGAGGAGGCAGCGCGGGGAAGAGGCGGCGGCGGCGCTGAGGAGGCGATTGAGGCCGGACGGGGCGGACGGCGACGCAGCCCGCGGCAGAAGGTCAGTCAGGGGGACGCCCTCGTTGCCGAGCCGGGAGGATGCTCGGGCTACCGTTTTGGGGGTCCGCCTCTTCACTCTCAGGTTACCTTTAGCCACGGGACGAACATCCGGCCCTTTTTCCCTCCAGGGGTGACGACAGTGGGAGCAGGTGGGGGGGTGGAACCCGAATGGATGGGGTGGGCAGAGGCGGCTGTTAGAGCTTACGGGCTTGCTGCGGGGGGTATGGGAGGGAGAGCTGGGTGCGCACCCGGTCCGTAGGGGGAAGGGGCGCGAGGCAGGGGCATGCCAGGTGTGACAGCCACGTGCGGTCGGCACCTTGGGGCCCCGGACACCAGGTGTCTTCTTTCCCGGCCCCCGCTGTCACCGTGCTCCCCGCGCTGGGCGATGCCATGCAGGGGCTTGCTAGGGTCACTGGCTCGCCCTTCTTGCGTGGGGCAGGTGCGCAGGGCGCGCTGCGGGGTGCTCCCGGGCCGCTCAGGCTAGGCTGTTGCGCAGTAAGATAACCGCGCGGGAGCCGGGGCTGTGCTGCACCCCCTTTCCCCCGCCCCCTGCGCTCCCCGCCACTGTGAGGGCGGGCGGTGGGTGAGTGCTGCGGGGCCGCGGAGTAGGGTGGCCGCTCGGCCCCTGGGACCCAGGCCCCAGGGCTCATTACTGAGCTTCACCAGCCTGGCTGCACGTGGGGCAAAGGATGGATGGGGAGGCGATGCTAAAAGACCTCGGTCCGCAGAATTGGGGGCAGTATCTTATGATAGCTGGTCTTTCCAGTCCTCTCTCTCCCTGCCCTTTCTTAATTAATTAATTAATTAACTTATTTATTTTATTTAAATTTGATGAGCAGGAACTTGAGCGCCTCCCCGACCCTGGCCTTTGGTCTTTCTTAATCTAGGAGACAAGCTGGACCGTTCCCTTTGCCTTACTTGACTCACGTGATGGAGTTTACAATGTCTCTCTGGATAGAGGAAAATCGAGACCTCTTTTAGAATAGGAGAATTCCACTTGTTTTGGAGCTCAGTGGGTGGAGTTTGAAAAAGATTGCCCAAGGAATGGGGTACTAGGTTTTCAGGGCCCTGGAATGGAGGACTATGGGGAAAGAGGCTGGGAAGGTGGAAAAACCCTGTCTCTTTTTCCTTGCAGGTGAACACATTGAAACATTCAACTTGTTGGACGTCCTGCTTGATCACTCATGGCTATTTAATGTTACCTAATTATGCATGTGAATACTCTCAAAAGTCACTCTTGTATGAAATTATGAAATAATATCTTTCTAATGCGATTCATGAACTTCAAAAGGGAGAACAAAGGTCTGGTTTACATCTGAGCAAAGTCTTAAGAATTAGCTTTTTAGAACCTGTTCCTAAGGTTCGGTATTTTAATGTCTCTGCATGAGGGTGTTACTACTTCTCAATTACCTCTTTCTTTCTCTCTCTTTGTATTCTGAAAGAAAGATCCAGTGCTTGTAGGACTGAAAAAGAAGCTGTGGACCAATGTACTGTAGAGATTCAACACTGTCACTTTGGACACTTTACTTATTCCCTGAGGGTGGGGAGCCAATCTCTGGGTTTGATTTCAGAGGTTCCCCAGGGGAGAACTCGATAAAAAGCCACTGCAATTGAGGACATAAGTTCCCTTTTATGCCACTGGGATAAGGACAAAAAATCATTGAATTAGGAACTGAGGTTTAATCAACTAACATTTTAAACGACCAAGATAAGAAGTAATGACCCTTTGAGGTGCAGAGCTCTGGTTAACAGCTGGATATGAATATTTATGTGTATCTCTACTGTCTCCTTTTTGTTTACTTACCTCATATGCTGTTGCCTTTTTTTGAGACAGGGTCTCACACTGTTGCTGCGGCTGGGGTGCGGTAGTGTATCATCAGAGTTTACTACAGTCTCAAACCTTTGGATTCAAGCAATGTGCGTGCCTCAGCCTCCCTGGAAGCTGGGATCACAGGCACACACCATCATGCCCAGCTGTTTTTTTATTTTTTGAAAGTACAGGGTCCTGGGTGGCACCTGTGGTTCAATGTGTAGGGTGCCAGCCCCATATACTGAGAGTGGCGGGTTCGAAGCTGGCCCGGCCAAACTGCAACAAAAAAATAGCCAGGCATTCTGGCCAGCGCCTGTAGTCCCAGCTACTTGGGAGGCTGAGGCAAGAGAATTGCCTAAGCCCAAGAGCTGGAGGTTGCTGTGCTGTGAGCTGTGACGCCAAAGCAATCTACTGAGGGCGACAAAGTGAAATTGTCTCTAAAAAAAAAAAAAAAGAAAGTACAGGGTCCAGGCTGGTCGCAAACTCTTGGCCTCAAATGATCCTCCTTCCTTGTACTCCTAAATTGCTAGGGTTATAGGTGTCAGCCACCAGGCCTGACCATTCCTTTCTTTTTGGTTATACTTTTCTGGGCATATTTTTTCCTTTGTTGTCCAACTGAATATAACACGAAAATATTAAATATTAGTTCTTGAATTTTCTTTTCTTTATGGTTAAATATTAGTTCTTGAATTTTATGTTCCTTTTTTTTTTTTGAGACAGAATCTCATTATGTCGCCCTCAGTAGAGTGTTGTTGCATCACAGCTCACAGCAACCTCAAACTCATGGGCTTAAGCGATTCTCTTGTCTTAGCCTCCCAAGTAGCTGGGACCATAGGCCCCCACCACAACACCCAGCCATTTTTTGGTTGCAG